AGTACAGTTGGTCTGTCAAGTGAGAATAATCATTTGTGTCTGTGCCTGTCTGAGGGCAAGGAATCTCTGGTTTCCCGTGTGTGTGTGTGTGTGTGTGTGTGTGTGTGTGTGTGTGTGTGTGATGTGTGGATAAATGGGTTCTTCTGTGAAGATTCTGGGATACAGTTTTTGTATGACCAGACTTTATTTATGGATGATAAGGAAGAGCCAGTTTCAGAAAATATGAAAATTGTTTGATCAACCCTTTTGCTCTTGTGACTATCATGACTTCTGTTACACAGAAGTGGCATCTGTAGTAATGACATTGTCATTATAATTCCAGACTTTACGAATATATATATATTCATTCACATACATATATGAATATATATATCTTCAGCAAGGAGAAATGGAACATGGGGGCTACAAGTTTGATAACCAAATATGAACTATTTTAACAGCCCATAAATTAATTTAAACAATTTTACAAATTAATATAATTTTCCAGTTTTGTTTAAAGTCTTTCAAATATCTTTTCACTTTTCTTTCATGCTGTGACCTCATTATACAAATTGTATTGAAAATGGATTCTATGGAAATGGCATTGATATGGAAAACTAATTTTTTTTGTCATATTCCTAGTCCTCTAATTCATTGAGTGCTTAATAAAGACAGCTTGTTTGTTTCCTATGCTAGATATGTTTGGGTATCTTTGCACAAATTGAATTTATAAATCTATGCAAAAAGGAAGTTAAAGTAATATTAAAGAGTTTCTTCATCTGAAGCAAAATGGCACAGAAAAATAAAGCATCCACCCTGAGCATGTGGCCAGAATGTCCTTTAATCAGGGAATGGGAGTCCTTTCACCCACCAGTTCCCATCCAAGCTGGGAGTCAATCATGTTAGAATTTGCCACACATTGAAACAGAACTTCAAAGGGGAAATGAGATGGGATAGCAAGTCCTTTTCAAGTAAGGAATAGAGCAGATAGAGTTCCGCTTGCTGGCTGAGTCCTTTCTCAGCCAGAGGGCAATGGGCAGGAGGATTACTTGGTGGTGGACAGCAGTCTCTCCCCTTTTCATCACCTCTTCCTCAGCTCAGGCCAAGTGCAGAGGGAAGGCTGTGTGAGCTGGACATAATGCCAAAGACGTGATTGCTGGCAGATCTAAACTTTCTCAGACCCTCAACCAGGTGCAATAAGACATAAAAATTCCATACTTGTCTTTTATTGTGGCATCATTCATTTTCTTATAATTCTTTCTGTAACTACTACAACTTTTGGGATCTCTATTAATACTAATATCCATGAGACAAGCATGAAAAAACTTACTTTACATTGAGACATGGGGGCCTTTTCAGCATGTTGCCTAGGGTTATTAATTCCAAAGTTCTCTTCAGTGCTCTTGTTACACAGTAGTTCTAGATCGTCTTGCACCTCTACTTCGGGAAGGTATTAAACAGAATGAAACACTGTCCCTGCCAGGTCGCTGGAGCCTGGGCTGCCTCAGCAGTCTGGATGGGCTGTTCAAGTCTCTCCCAAAGGCCAGTTCCAGTGAATGAGTCTCCTCACAGGCAACCTGATATTCAGGTCAGAGGCAGCTTAGGTGATTTCAGCAATCCAAACCTCGTGGCTAGTGCACAGGTAAAGAGCCTCTTCCAGTGGGGCATATACAGAGAGGAGGTGGCTGGCCAGGACCTGAATGCTATGCCTTCTTCTTCTATTGCATATTTAATGGCAGAGTCTGAGAAGTGCACAGAGACCTCATGCATAATATTTATGCTTGCATTTACCAGTGACCTGTGCCAGTGGAACATGGATTAAAAAATCCAGAGAGAAGTCCAAAGTTATTTTTAGCTATTGCTTCAGTGTCCAGCCCTCAGTCTCTTGCAAGTCTTGTTTATGTTGGGTGTGAAGAACCTGAGAGCAGCGAAGGCTGTTAAATACTGAAATGAATTTATAAGCAGCTGCTCTTTTCCTGGAGAAGACGAGAGATCTGCGCCCATCAGAATACTTAGTCTAAAGGCAGTGTCATTTGATGGAGTTTAGATCCTGTCCAGGGACTGCTACCTTTGCTTCTCTGCCTCTTTCCCTTCCTTCACTGCCTACTGTAGCAGGTAAAAAGCAGCTCACAGCCAACCAGCAAAAAGAAATAAGAGTTGTGCGGGGCAGCAATTGCAATGGGTGACAGTTTAGCCTCCATACTTGCCCATCGGGGTTTTCATCTTGACTCTACCACTTTAGACACTTTCTGACTGAGTAAAGGACTTTCCTTCTGTGTGCCTCAGTTTCCTCCCGGTGAGAAGGATATCATAATAAAGAATGCCATAGAAGATGTTGGGCTCTTTCCTGGGCTGGCTAATCCACCCATAAAGCCTATTGGTCAGTTCCCGATACATGACAAACAATTAACATTACTTATTTTAATGTTACCACAGCAGGATGGATACACAGTACTTTCAGCCTGCCTAAAAACAATAACATTGTTTTCATGCTGATCAAATCTGCTTCACAGTTTCCCAAAAGACAGAGGAAGTGGGTGGGTAACTGACAGGCTGCATTCTGAGTAGGGTCTTTTCACTGCTTCTTAGACTATTATCCATGATATACCAATTTGCCTCTCACATTACAATGAAGGTCAAGATGTATGCTAAAGTATTTATGCTTTATCAATGTACAAGGGCCAATCTGAGCATAATACAGAACATCTCTCCTAGGCACCTTAATGCAAGAATACAAATAGTTCTGGCATCAACAACAATAACAAAAGAGCTACCAATTTAAAACTCTTCTGTCTTTTGATTTGGTTTTATAGTCTATCTTTTTGAGATATAAAATAACCAACATCTCAAAAACCACCTTAAACCAAAGCCTGTATTGGTCTAGAGTCTAGGCTCTAAGAACTACAGGAGTTCTTTCTGGCAAACTGATAAATCTGCAGCTGATTAAATGACCTACTACATGGCACCCCTGCTTCTCGTTTCATGAATGCTGATAGATGAGCCCTTAGCTTCAGGCATGGCTTCCTCATCCATAAAAAAAGGTGTGTGGGCTGTGTGTGTAGCCATACCTAGGTGGGGTGTGACATGAAAAGGTGTCAACAAGAGTTCATAGCTAAGCAGTCATTTGTAAAGACAACACACACACACACACACACACACACACACACACCTCTCACAAGATTTCTAACATCACATCATAACACTACCAGCTATTTTAGTCTATTAAAACAAGGACATTTATTTTCATTTTATGAAACAATGCAGCATGTTCATGATACGTAGACACCTGTAATGTTCATTTCTTCTTCCTTATCATCTCCAGCTCTGTTCGGTGTAGTATACCTTTCCCC